TGGACAGACAGGAGCTGAGAAAGAAGAGGGGGAAAAAAATGTGGAAAGGAGTTTGTTCATTTGGGTGATGGAGTGCTCACTCCCCCTCACCAGCAAGCAGGGTTCAATAATGGCAGACAGGCCTTCACAAAAAATTGCCGCATAAATAGATGAGCCCTTTAAGGTAATAGAAATGCTGTCGTTCTGAGGAGAAATATGGCCTCTGTTACTCCCCCAGGAGGGGACACTGGGCCCTTCCCCTCCCTCCCTCCCTACCCCCTACCCACCCCTCCACCCCCGCCTCCTGAACTCCCTGCCCCCATTACAGCCAAGGCTGGAAGAGAGCATCTGGACTGAAGGATGTCCAAGGGCCCTTTATCTCTCAGCCACAAGGGCTCCATGCTGGGAGGAGGCCAAGAAGACCATGGTCAGTGACTTCACAGAACTCTCATTGCAGGCAACACAGGGGCAGCAATTAGTCCCAGAGCAGTTCAAGAGGTGCCATCAGGCTGGCTGCCAGGTGAGGCTTTAAATAAGGGATAGGGCACTGGTCAGCAGAGGATTATGGGGGACCTAGAAATTGGACTTGCCCCCACCTCCCAGAGCAATCCAGGAGCCCCAGTAACCTTGCAGTTCCCAGCTCAGAAGAGGCTACATGTAGCTCGCTCTGCTTCTTCCTCTCACCATACTTCCACTTGGGCCCCCAATAAACCACGCCCCCTCTCCCCAGCCAGAGACCCAATGGGACAAATAGCAAGAGCTCTTCAGCTCAAGGTGAGCACTCTACCACTTGAGCCACAGTGCCACTTCTGGTTTTCTGGTGGTTAATTGGAGATAAGAGTCTCACAGATGTTTCTGCTGGGGCTGGCTTTGAACCTCGAGCCTCAGATCTCAGCCTCCTGAGTAGCAAGGATTACAGGCAAGAGCCACGGGCACTGGGTGCAGCATCCATATTTTTAAAGATGGTTACAATAGTAACCCTTGTTGGATGATTATAAATACACAAGGCATTCTAAGTGCTTGGCATATACTAATGAATTTAATTGGCCAGTATAATTTTTTTTTTTTTGTTCCGGGCGTGGGGCCTGACCTCTGGGTCTGGGCGCTGTCCCTCAACTCTTCAGCTCAAGGCTAGTGCTTGCTCTACCACTTGAGCCACAGCACCACCTCTGGCTTTTTCTGCTTATGTGGTGCTGAGGAATCAAACCCAGGGCCTCATGCATGCAAGGCAAGCGCTGTACCACTGAGCCACCTTCCCAGCCCTTGGCCAGTATTCTTACATATTTATTTTTGTTTGTTTTGTGCTTGTACTGGGGCTTGAATTCAGAGTCTAGAACTTTCATTTGGTTTTTTTTCCACTCAAGGCTGGTGCTCTGCATTTGAATCACAAACTCTAGTTCTGGCTTTATTTTTGTTAGTTGTGGGGCTCAAACTCAGGACTTGATCGCTGTCCCGGAGCTCTTTTACCCAAGGCTAGCATGCTACCACTTTGAGCCACAGGTCTACTTCTGGTTTTCTGGTGGATAATTGGAGGTAAGAGTCTCAAAATGGACTTTCCTGCCTGTGATCCTCAGATCTCAAACCAACATCCTCAGATCTCAGCCTCCTGAGTAGCTAGGATTACAGGTGTGCGCTACGGCGTCTGTCCAGAGTCTGCTTTCTTAAAGCTTCTCCCACACGTTCCCTCAACAGCTCTTGGTGGAAAGGGAGAGCAGGTAAGAGGGGAAAGCAGGACACCCATCCTACAATGTGGGCTACTCACATCCATCTAAGACTAAAAGACCACCTAGCTCCCAGATGAGGATCGTAAGGCCCAACTGGGTGAAGGATCAGGTCCAAGGTGACAAAGCCCAGAATGAAGTCTCCAGAACACTCAGAAAGCAGCTCTTTTAATTAGCCCTTCACTAATTCCCTATAGTAAAAACCTTGCAGTAAACGAGCAAAGAGATCAATTTGCAAACCATCCAACAGACAAGGCATTGCTAATTATTACTGACTGGAAGGAGCACTCTGTGGGGAGCCTCAGCTGAGTCTGCTCTGCTGATTGGTTGCCCCACCTACCTCACCCGGAATGGCTAATTGCAGGAAGTCTCTTTCATTCAGAAGCTGCGGGGTCAGGAGCCACGGCTGATCCCAAGGCTCACTGCCCATTCTGTAATCACCTCCAGCAGCATCCTGCTGACCCAAGATGGCTCAGGAAAAGCCTTTGCAGGGAAAATGAGTGGGAATTGGTGGGGGTCTCAATGGGGGCAGTGTGTCTAACAATCTATCCTAGTCCTGGTTCTCAGGAAGGCAGGACTCCACCGGCCCCAACCCCCTCTTCCCTGAAGTTCAAGGACAGGAAATCATTTACATCACAGATGGGTGGCTGAAAATATTCAGCTGTAGCTGCAAGCCTCTCGAAGCCTTCCCAGGGCCCTCTGATTCTCCCCTTGCTGAGGAGCGGTGATCAGGCAGGCAGGTGAGTTGGGGCTCTCAATGGAGCCATGACAATATACACGACCAGATCAAAAAGCCCCCAAGGACCTGACAGACTATGGATGCACACACCTTCTCACAGCTATTTACCCGGGAGGAGTGCATTTCCTGATTCAGTATAAGGTTCAGGCACTGACCATCATCTTGGCTCTATCCAAGGTGCTGAAGCAATGTCTCCCAGTTGTAAACTCCCAATGGAATAACTGGCACCGAAGAACCATTCTTTCTGCTCATTTCTCCCTGCTCTCCTTCCTTCCTTCCTTCCTTCCTTCCTTCCTTCCTTCCTTCCTTTTTTCCTTCCTTCCTCCTTCCCCCGCCCCTTTCTTTTTTGTCAGTTGTGAAGCTTGATTTCTGGTGGTTTATTGGAGATAAGAGTCTCCCTGTCTGGGCTGGCTTTGAACTGTGATCCTAAGATCTCAGCTCCCTGCTAGCTAAAACTACAGGCATGAGTTTCCACCACCACCCAACTTGCTCAGTTTTTAAAATAATTTTTGAAAAAAAAAATTGTGCCACAGTACCGGAGCTCAAATTCATGGCTTTGCACTTTTGCTTGACTTAAATTTTGCTCAAGGATGATACTCTGCCACTTGAGCCACAGCTCCACGACCAGCTTTTTAGTGGAGATAAGAGTCTTGTGGAGTTTCCCACCCAGGCTGATTTTGAACTTTGATCCTAACATCTCAACCTACTGACTAGCCAGAATAATAGTCATGAGCCATCAGTGAGTCTCCAGCCTGGAAGCAATCTTTCTCCCTCCCTCCCCCTCCCTCTTTCTCTCTGCAAGTCCTGGGGCTTAAACTTGGGGCTGATGCACTGTCCCTGAACCTCTTTTGCTTAAGGCTAGCACTCTACCACTTGAACCATAGCGCCATTTCTGGTTTTTTTCTGTGTATGTGGTACTGAGGAATCAAACCCAGGGCTTCATGCATGCTAGGCAAGCACTCTACCACTAAGCCACATTCCCAGCCCTGGAAGCTATGTTGAAAGGCAAATGTTCCATTTCATGGAAGCTTAAGGATACTGGACCCACAGGGAGCTTAGGCTACTGGTCCCAGGCTACACGGAGTGAACAGATCAGCCAGGATCTGTCCTAGATCTGGTTTCAGAGGCCACATACTTTCAACTGCACAAACCACTTCCCACAGCACAGCAAAAAAAAAAAAAAAAGCAAATAAACAGAGTCCTGGGGAGTAAGGGGGAACCCCTGACTGCAGGGTTGCTTGGACCCACAGGGCAGGCGCCATTTCTCACCAGGATTCACCCTCCCAGGGTCAAGTTCCTCAGAATCAGACCTCACTAAAACCAACATAATTTACGAGGAAATAATGACAAGTAGTAAACAAACACATGGGGGGAAGTGTAGTAATCAGAGAAATGCAAATTAGAGCAACATCCAGGAGCCATTTCCTACCTAAGTCATTAGCAAATATTAAAAAAAGAAGGGGAAGAAAGCAAAATTGTTGAGAGCTGGTGCGTGCAGAGTGGATTTATAGAACCCTTGAGGACGGCAGCATCCATCAGGAGCTGTGAATATGGTGTGCCCACTGACCCGCAAATCACCCCAAGGAAATAATTCAATGGTAAGGAAGGGGCTGCGTGGGGGGTGTTTGTGCACAGATGCTCACTGTAGCACTGAGTGGACACATGGGAACAACTTTCTACCTAGCAATGAGGGAAATGGCTGGGTAAACTGGCGATTTATCAGCTCCCTCTGTGTTAAACACCATTTAAGGTGTGTGTATGTGTGCACGCATGAGCACCCGTACTGGGGCTTGAACTCAGGGCCTTGTAATTTTTTTTTGCCAGTCCTGGAGCTTGAACTCAGCACAGCCTGGCTGGCAAGAGCGCTCTCTCTGAGCCTCTTTGTGCTCAAGGCTAGTGCTCTACCACTTGAGCCACAGCACCACTTCTGGCTAGTAGTTTATTGGAAATAAGGGTCTCACAGATTTTTCTGCCTGGGCTGGCTTCAAACACGGTCCTCTGATCTCAGCCTTCTGAGTAGCTAGGATTATAGGCATGAGCCACCAGCACTGAATGGCCTGTATTCTTGCTTGGCTTTTTCACTCAAGGCTGGAGCTTGATCCACATCTCTACTTCCAGCTTTGGGGTGGTTAATTGGAGACAAGAGTCTCACCGACTTGCCAACCTGGGCTGGCTTTGAACCATAATCGTCAAATCTCAGCCTCCTGAGTAGCTAGAATGATAGGTGTGAGCCACCCACCAGTGCCTGGCATGCAGCCATTTAAAACGAGAAGCCCAGCAGCTTCTATTTCGCATTCTGCTTCCTTCTATCCCCCAAGATGTATGTGCAGAGGAAAGCGGACTGCAAAACTGCTGAGTGTGCTGTGGGTATTATGATGTGAAAGTACTATGTGTACAGGAACAGAGCTGAGCACAAGAAGACAGCCAGTGTTTCAGTATAGGTGGACAATGGGGAGACCCTAGTTATAACCACAGTCCTCAGAGCACATAGGGCCACACTCCTGACTGCCAGGGGGCCTGGTGAGGGCCAGAGAAGCCACAGGAGCCCCTTCCCACCTTACCATGAAGCCCGGGGCACACGTGCAGCTCCCAGTGACACTGTGGCAATCGGCGCCGTTCTGACAGGTGCAAGGCAGCTGGCAGCCATCGCCGAAGTAGCCAGCAGGGCAGGACTCATTGCAGTGGTGGCCAGACCAGCCCGGCTGGCAGGTACAGGCTCCGGTTACTGGGTGGCAGCTGAGCAGCGTAGAGAAAGGTATAAAGACAGGATAGTTATAGGTGTAGTCATGTCCCTCCCTTCTGCCTGCCCCAAAGCTGGTCTGCCTAGGTGGTAGGATCACAGGATCTCAGAACATGCCCGTGTGTGTGATCTTTTTATTTGTGTGGCCGGTCATAGGGCTTGAACTCAGGGCCTGGCCACCGTCCCTAAGCTTTATCACTGCCACTTTGAGCCCAATGCCACTTCCGGTTTCCTGGGAGGTTAATTGGAGATAAGAGTGTGACGGACCTTGCTGCCTGGGCTGGCTTCAAACCGTGATCCTCAGACCGCAGCCTCCTGAGTAGCTAGGATGATAGGTGTGAACCACTGGTGCCTGGCATGTAGGTGATCTTGTTAGTCCCCACAGAGGATCAGAGAGGTTATACAATGTAAAGTCACACATCAGGGTCAGGATTAGAACCCAGAACTTCTCATTCCCACATGTTTTTTTTTTTTTTAATTTTTTGATGCCAGTACTGGGACTTGAGCTCAGAGCTTCTAGCTCTCACTTGGCTTTTTTTTTTTTTAATTCAAGGTTGGAACTCTAACTTAATTCACACTGCTCTTCCCAGCTTTTTGCTGGCTCATTGGAGATTAAAAACTTCTAAGATTTGTCTACCTGAGCTGGCTTCAAACTGTGATCCTCGCATCTCAGCCTCCTGAGTAGTCAGGATTACAGAAGTGATCCACTGGTGCCCGGCTAAAACTTGTTGTGCTTTTTCCAAATCTAGAGACCAAACTAGGGGTGGCCTGTTTAGGCCTTGGGGGTTTGGTGCTTTCTTCATACCTCCTTCAAGACAGATAACTAATGGGGAGGGGCGTGGGGGGCCAGGCAGGGGAAGAACACAATGACATCTGAGACTCTGCCAATGGGAGGCGCTCTATGTACAGCCTAATTCCCTGCTTGCTCAGGAAGCAAGTTCTCCTCCTCCATCCCAGTCTGTTTAAATCACAGAATGGACCATTCGGCTGGAGGCAGGTACCTATTTGGGAGTGCATGCCACTTTCGCTCGTGTGTGTGTGTGTGTGTGTGTGTGTGTGTATGTGTGTGTGTGTGTGTTTAGGTGTCTGTTGACTTGTTTGTCCTGTCAGCCCTGCTGGCTGACTGGCCCTTGTCCATAGTCACCAGCAGGGCCCAGCAGGGCTGTGGCACCTGGAAGATGCCGAGTGCTGGCTTGGCAGATGAATTAATGGACACTAATTGTCCACAGCCCAGCCAAACAACTTCTCTTTGGTGGGGGTTCTCTCAGAACAAATGAGGAGGTAGACAGAAATAGATCAGTCTTGAATAGTAAGTGCAAAGAGCTGGCAGTCCATTTGGAAAAATGTTTAGGCTCATGAACCATCAAATCTAACCAAGGGCTGGATGCAAGTAGCTCATGCCGGTAAATCCTAGCTACTCGGGAGGCTGTGATCTAAGGATCATGGTTCAAAGTCAGCCTAAGCAGGAAAGTCCAAGCGACTCTTATCTTCAATTAACTATTGAAAAGCTAGAAGTAGAGCTGTGACTCAAAGGGGTAGAGCACTAGAGCTCAGGTACAGTGCCCAGGTTCTAAGCTCAAGCCTTAGTATCAGTGAGCACACACACACACACACACACACACACACACACAGTTTAAACAACAATTGGAAAATGCTTTATAAAAACAGTGGAGATCTAAAAACCCTCAGCCAAGGTTTCTGAAGCAGCATGAGGTTACGCATCAGGAGGCCTAACAATATTCCGATTCCTTTGTCTTGTCATTCCATTTCTAAGAATCTCTCCTAAGGAAATAATCATAGTTATAGAGGAAGATTTATGCACAGAGATGTTCCCTGAAGCATTATTTATAACAGTGGAAAATGGAAGCAATTTGAATAATAATAAATAATATGTGAGCTGGCTATTAAAGCACCAGGCATCGTGTACACATATTTCTAATCTTCAGTAAGCCGATTAATTAGTCATTTAAGCCTCTATGTCATAAATGGCATTTGGAGGTTATGTGACTAACTCCAGTGTCACACACTCAAGTCACATGCAGGTCTGTCTGTCCACATTCGCTTCCTTGCCCATCAGTGTCATTTTTAACAACAGATTCCTTGTTATATGAATTATGGATAAATAGAAGAAAGATACTAGCAAGGTGCCAAAGGCTCATGCCTGTAATTCTAGCTACTCAGGAGTCTGAGGTCTGAGGATCATAGTTTAAAGCCAGCCCCAGGAGTAAAGTCCATGAGATTCCTTTTTTTTTTTTTTTTTTTTTTGGTCGGTGGTGGGGCTTGAACTCTGGGCCTGGGCGCTGTCCCTCTGCTCTTCAGCTCAAGGCAAGCGCTCTACCACTTGAGACTCGGCACCACTTCCAGTTTTCTGGTAGTTAATAGGAGATAAAGAGTTTCACAGACTTTCCTTCCCTGGGCTGGCTTTGAACTCAACCTCCTGAGTAGCTAGGACTACAGGCATGAGCCACTGGTGCCAGCTAATGAGACTCTTATCACTCCAATTAACCACCAAAAAGCCAGAAGTGGAACAATGACTCAAGTGGTAGCAAACTAGCCTTGAGGATAAAAGCACAGAGACAGTGCTTAAGCCCTGAGTTCAAGCCCTGGACAGCACAAGAAAGAAAAGAAAAGAGAAGGAAAGGAAGAGAGGGAAGAAAGAAAAGGAAAGGAAGGGAAGTAAAAGGGAAGAAAGCTCATCATTTTCTAGAATATCTAATAATACCATGTGAAATAAAATAACTACCTTCAGCCAAGATCCAAAATGTAAAAAATACAGACACTGATGAAGAATGAACAAATTACAAGACAATGCCTGTTTTGTTGAGAAATTATGAGGGACTAAATTACTTCTTTAAATATCTATATACAGCCAGAGACCAGCGGCTCACTCTGGTCCTAGCTACTCAGGAGACCATGATCTGAGGATTGCAGTTCAAAGCCAGCCCAGGCAGGAAAGTCTTGGAAACTCTTATTTCCAATTAACTACCAAAAAAAAAAAAAGCTGCTACAAGTGGAGCTTTGGCTCAAGTGGTAGAGTGCCAGCAATAAAGCTCAGGGACAGTGCTTAGACCCTGAGTTCAAGTCCCAGTACTGGTACAAACATAATGTCTAGCCAGGCATTGGTGGTTTATACCTGTAATCCTAGCTACTCAGGAGGATGAAATCTGAAGATCATGGTTCAAAGCCAACAAAGGACACAAAAGTCTGGAAGACTCTATTTCCAGTTAAACAGCAAACAAAGAAGAATACCACCAGTTGGGAGGCACGGCTCAAGTGGCTAAAGCACCATCTGTGAGCAAGAAATCAGAGAAGGAGAATGAGGCCCTGAGTTTAAGCCCTAATACTGCCAGGAAAGGAAAGAAAAAAAATCTGTTTTCTCTAATCTTCCCCCACTGAGTGTCTACCTAATTTCTAAACAGATGTAAAGCATTAAAATTGTAAGTAGAGGGCTGGGAATATGGCTTAGTTGTAGAGTGCTTGTCTAGCATGCATGAAGCCCTGGGTTCCATTCCTCAGTGCCACATACACAGAAAAAGCCAAAAGTGGTGCTGTGGTTCAAGTGGTAGAATGCTAGCCTTGAACAAAAGAAGCTCAGGGACAATGCCCAGGCCCTGAGTTCAAGCAAAGAAAAAAACCTCAAACAAATGAAATGGTAAGTAGATAGCAAAGAAGCATGGGTATAAATCATGAGTGCTACAAACTTTCCAACTTTGGCAGTTCTGGAAATGTTTCTCCCTGAGCCCCATGCCCTGTGGGACTGGGGGAGGTGCATCATGGGACATACTTTCTCCTCCCACCCTTGGCCTTCCTGTGCCCCACAGCCTTTCTGGGTCTCAACTATCAAGGGGGCCTCTTCTGGGATTTAGGATTAGAGTCAGAAGGACCCACTGAGTCACAGTCACAAAGACGGGCCATGTTTGCCCTAGAAAGAGCCAGCAGGTCTTAGCTGCTCTGCCTAGCCCTGGGGACTCTTTAAAATGTCTCAGGCACCTCCCTGTGGGTCCAACAGTAGCCTTTCTTCTGCTGGATGTGCCTTGAAAATGATCATGCCAGCATCCACACATGGCCCCCCCCCCCCGGCCCAGGCAGCGTTGGCTCCCAGCAAGGCTCCCAATTCCCTTGGGTCATGCTGGGCTGGCTCAGGCCAGAATCTCAATGGCAGGTGTCAAGGCTGGTTCATTAGTCTCTGCCTTGCCCAGACACAGATTAATCACAAGTGGATAGAAGCTGAAAGCTGCACAATGCAGGAAATCTTTTTCCGAAAGCATTTTCCTGCCTTTCTGTCGGCCGCTTGGTGATTTCTATCACGGCTGCATCCCGTGGGCCGCGTCAAATCTTTCAAAGGGAATCCACAATCGCGGCTGCTGGAACTCATCTCTGACAATGCAATTGTTGGAAGGGACGTGGCAGCGGCCCGGCACCCCAATACTGGTCCCAAGATTACGCTTTTGTGAAGGCAGATGGCTTCTTTGTGTGGGTCCCGCACCGACCTGATGAATGTCTTCCTTCAATCACTTCCATCTCGGTGGAGCAGTGTGGCCAGAGGGAAGGGGCAGGGAGTGTGGCCAGGGCTGGGTGGGCAGGAAAGTCCCTGGGTGAGTCAGTGATTTGGTCTCTGGAGACTTACCATGCAAGTTAGACTGCTCATGCCTGTCATCCTAGCTACTCAGGAGGCTGAGATCAGGAGGATCATGCTTTGAAGTCAGCCTGGGCAGAAAAATCGGTGAGACTCTTATCTCCAATGAATCACCAAAAAGCTGGAAGTGAAGCTTTGGCTCGAGGGGCAAAGCTCCCGTCTTGAGCTAAAAAGCTAATTGAGAACTGGAGGCCCCGAGTTCAAGCCCAGCACTGCACATACGTGCACACACATGCACGCACACACACACACACACACACACACACACACACAGAAGAATGTGTTTTGCTGAAGGCTTACTCTGTGCCAGTCTGAGAGACAGAGACTATTTGTACCCTCAGGGCCCCAGGCTGGGGGGAGGGGTCAGCCTCTCTGGAGGAGGCTCGGGCTGCAGATTCTGAGCAATCTACCCAGGGCTGGGCTGGGCAGGCACCCTTAGAACCCCCACTCCTAAGAACCACTATGGCTTTCAGCTCCTGAAACATGACAGACGTTAAAGACAGTAAAGCAAATAGCCATTAATATTGGATGGGCTGAGATTAGCGACGGAGAGGAGGGAGTCCGTCCAGATTAATAATGCATCAAGGGTTCCTTCCAAGGAAGATAAATTATGCAGGGCACGCTGGCTCAGGCACAGAGGAAAACAATAGCTCTTTAATTTGGGGCTCGGTTGGCTCTCTGTGATGGAGATTCTCCCTGTACTGGGCCCCAGTAGTTGCTGGACTTCCTGACCCTCTGAGGGTCCTTCCTCAGTTTCTCAGCAGCAGGGGTGGGCTATCCCAGGGCTAGCCTCCACCCCTGCAGTGTGAGTCAGCTGCCAATCCACTGAACAGCCAATTGGGACCGTGTGTGTGTGTGTGTGTGTGTGTGTGTGTGCATTCCTCCACCAGTCTCGCAATCTCTTGTCTCACGTTTGTGGGGGGTGCTGGGTATCATTCAGTTACTGGCATATCATAGGCTAGCTGATAGAATTTCCCTGGTAAGGGGCTGGCAATGTGGCTTAGTGGTAGAGTGCTTGCCTAGCATGCATGAAGCCCTGGGTTTGATTCCTCAGTACCACATACATAGAAAAAGCCAGAAGTGGTGCTGTGGTTCAAATGGTAGAGTGCTGGCCTTGAGCAAAAGAAGCTCAGGGACAGAGCCTAGGCCCTGAGTTCAAGCCCCAGGACTGGCAAAAAAAAAATTTCCCTGGTGAAATGATGATGATGAAGATGGATTTTGTGTGTGTGTGTGTGTGAGAGAGAGAGAGAGAGTATATATTAGGGCTTGAACACAAAGCCTTGAATTTATTTCTTGCTTGGTTTTTTCCCTCAATGCTAGTACTCTACTACTTTGAGCCGCACCTCCATGTGCAGCATTTTGCTGGTGAATTGGAGATAGGAGTCTCACTGACTTTCCTACCTGGGCTGCTTCAAACTGTGATCCCCAGATCTCAGTCTCCTGAGTAGCTAGGATTACAGGCGTGAGGCACCAGTGCTTGGCACTAACCACCCATTTATTAAAGGAAGCCAGTGGGTGCTATGAAGCAGACAGGGAAGAATGCTGGGAGAAGCATCGGGGTGCAGCCTGCACCTCTCCTTCCCAGGCTTGGGCTCCAGCTACTGCTCAGGTGTCCCTGAGCCACCAAGGAGGCAGGAATTGTCCCAGGGGCTTCTGTCCATGGTTGTACCTGATGGTGTTGTCCGGATGGCAGGGGCAAGGCGAGGCGCAGCCTGGGCCATGCAGGCCCTCGGGGCACAGCCGTTCCTGGCAGCTTGGACCCTTGTAGCCCAGTTCACACTCGCAGGCGCCGGTGGCGGGTGAACACTGGCCTCCATTGTGACAATCGCAGCTCTGCGAGCACTGGAAGCCGAAGGTCCCAAGGGGACATTCTTCCTGGCACCTGTGGGACAGCAGACTGGGCTAAGGCTGGGTGGGCTCTCAACCTCTGCCCTTCTCCCTCTGCCCAGCATGCAACCTTCCAGGCCTCCAGGCATGGCCTGATGTGCTCTATACCTCTGGGCAGCCTCCCCAATTCCTCCCCTCTTTTAGGAAGCTCCAGTCAAGCCTCTCTCCTGCCAGGTCTCCCCAGTTTGCGGGGGGGTGGGAGGCAGCAATGAATGTGTGCTATTTGATTTCAGTGATGCTAAAGCCTTATCTGTGGCTTTCATTTTGAAGAAAAACAAAATGTGCTATGGTGCTGGCTGCTGGCCTAGCTGCTCAGAAGGCTGAGATAGGAAGATCATGGTTGAAAGTCAGCCTGGGCAGAAACTCTGGGATGCTTGTCTTTCATTCATCAATGACAATGCTGGAAGTGGAGCTATGGCTTAAGTGGTAGAGCAAGGGGAAAGATAGCCAAACGAGGGCATGAGGTACTAAGTTCAAGCACCGGCACATGCAAAAAAGAAAAATGTGCTCTGGCTTGAATCTTGATGGCTCCACCAAAATTCCCATTAAGCCTTAACCACAATGCAACAGTAAAAAGAGGCACCATCTTGGGGAGATGATTGGGTCACAAGGGCCATGGGTTAAAGCCCTTATAGAAGAGTTGGAGGGAATTAAGACAGCCTTTTTTTTTTTTTGTCCTTCCATCCCTTCCCCCACCTGAGGACCCAGAGTTCAAGGCTCCATGTTGGAGTCAGAGACCAGGCCTTCACCAGTCACCACACCTGCCAGCACCTTGACCTTGAGCCCAAGGTCCCCAGGCTTCAGAGCTGTGAAAATGGGAAAACTGGGTTTATAAATTATCCAGCCTCAGGTATTCTGTCATAGTAGCACAGACAAGACTAAGACAATACGCAAGAGAAAATTTATCATTTTGAATCCATTAAGCGCAGTGGAGTAGCAGTAAATATATTCAGACGGGCCTGCAGCGATTGCCACCATCCATCTCCACAATGTTCTCATTGTCAAAAACGGGATCTCCCCCACCCATTAACGATAAACCGTGTGCTTAAAAATACATTGTAAGCACTCAGAAATCAGATAGGTCTTAGAAGGATGGCAGGACACAGTTTAATTATTGGTGCTTTTCATTCTCAGCCGTATCTGAAATAACAAGGCATCTTATCACTGGTGCGTCTTAGGCTTGATAAAGTGGGGGGTGATTTCACTTCAACGTACTATTTTGGGGGAAACTTTTTGGTCACATTGGGCTCTCTCGTCTTACTGGGTGATGTATCTGCTCTCCCAGGAGGGGAGAGGTCCCCACAAAAGGGCTAATTTCCTCTTCCTTCCTGGGAGCAGGGAACCCCTCGATGCAGGGCTGGTCTCTCCCTGCAGTCTGTGAACCCCTGTTTGTGTCCTGCATAGATTCTGGTGGCCTCCGACCCCAGCCCCATCCTTAGCCTTGGAAGCAGTAGATGGTCTCATTGTGAAATTGAAGAGGCTGATGTGAAGGAGAGGCTTCCATCCTGGCAAATGGCTCAGAGGATATCTTTTCCCGTCAATTTTGTGTGTGTGTGCATCAGAGGCCTCATGGAGAGAAAACAGGCAGACAAGACAGGGAAAGGAGAATGGTGGATAAGGGGACAAGATAGGAATCAGGAAGGAGGAGGGCAGGAGGGAAACTGAGGCAGAAAGGAAGGCCCAAGACCAGTTAGCCTTCATAGAAACCAGGCCCCCATAGCTCACATGTCATCCTAGCTACTCAGGAGGCTGAGATCTGAGGATCTCCATTTGAAGCCAGTCCACGGGGGAAAGTCCAAGAGATTCTTATCTCCAAGGAACCACCAAAAATCCGGAAGTGGAACTGTGGCTCCAAGTGGTCAAGTGCTAGTCTTGGGAAAAACTTGCTCAAGGACAGCGCCCAAGCCCTGAGTTCAAGCCTCAGGACTGGCACATAACAAACAAATTTAAAAAAAAAGAAAACCTGCAAAATCCCTGTTTGTACTATCCATCCCTGCTGGCTGCAAGTGTCTTCAATGTCAGGACAGGAAGTCACCTCCCTCTCACGGGGACATTCCTCCACAGGATGTATTCTACCTAGCCATGTTTTGGGCTATGAATGCACAGCCTCCTGGAAAGCCATCTAGAAATGAAATATCGACAACCTAATCCATTTACATAATCAGCCTCTTTTTATTTTTTTTCCCTGACTCACAATTTAAACAACTTATTTATTTAGAGATCAAGCAATGACTGCTAATGAATTTTACACAAAGAATGCTAATCACGAGGCCCACGGAACAGAAGGGTAATCACAGCAGGAATTAGGTTTCTACTTAAACATCTTTGCTTCGCAACCTATCAGTCTAATGCGTCCGATATTGCCATTAACCACCAGATACATTGCTCAATTAAATTACAAAATGAGCTGCAAAAACCCTCGTTACATTTTGTGTTTAATTTGCACTGGATTCTGCCTATCCACAGAGACCTGCGTTATTACACCCGCTCAACTGTAATATGCTCGCGATGATTTGGGGGGTGGTCTAATACAGCTGTCACCCACAAAATTAATGGAGGCAATTTTACAAAATGTTAAACACCAGGCTGCCCGTTTAGAATGGGAAACCCACATGGCTACCTGGTCCTTGGAATGAACTCTACTGTGGTTGATTGGCAGAGCTTGCTAGAACGTTCCTTGGTTCGGGAGGCTTCTCTGTTTTATGATCATCTGCCAGATTCTAAGAAGAGAAGCTGAGTTGGGCACTGGTGACTTGTCCATTGTTTTGGCCTTAGTTACTTTTCAAACAGGGTCTCAGTTATGATGCCCAGGCTGGCTTGGGCCTTGAGCTTCCTAATTATGTTTTCCATGTAGCTGGGATGGCAGGTATACATGATCACACCCAGCTATGGGCTGGGATGGGGACTTGTGAACTTTGTTTTTTTGCCTGAGCTGGTCTGTAACTATCATCTTCCTGTCTCGCCTACCTGAGTAGCAGAGATTGCAGGCAGGAGCTAAGGTGCTCTGCACTCTCAGCTTCTATTTGCTTCTATTAGCACAGAGTGGCGGCAGGTGCTCAATTCCTTCCCCAGGTAAACAAATCCAAGGCAGCTGCCTGGATGTAAGAGGTTAAACTCTGTTTGCCCAGGATGAGGAAAGGTGAGTTGAGGTAGACAGGAGGCCTCAGAACACTTTACCGAGAGCTTCCTGGGCTGACAAACCTCAGCAAAGCTGAGGTTCAAACAGAAGCAGTGAACAGGGAGGAGGCCAGCTGATCCCAACTTACCTCTCTCCCATGTACCCGGCTGTGCAGTGGCACTGTCCAGTCACATGGTCACACTGCCCGCCATGGTGGCAAGGACAGTCTTGGCTGCAGTTCTGGCCAAACGTGCCTGGTGGGCAGGGCTGTGCACACACTGCTCCCTGGAACAGAGACACAACACAGATGCCACGCCTCCTTCCACAGGCCTGGAAACCACGCCCATTGGGCATGCCTTGACCACACCCCCACTAGAACACGCCCCTTCAAATGCCACGCCTCCTTCCACAGGCCTGGAAACCACACCCGTTGGACATGCCTTGACCACGCCCCCACTAGAACACGCCCCTTCAAATGCCACGCCTCCCTCCACAGGCCTGGAAACCACGCCCGTTGGACATGCCTTGACCACGCCCCCTCTAGAACACGCCCCTTCAAACACCCCTGGTGGCTCAACCACACTCTCTGCTTCCCCTATACACAGAGAGCTAGCCACACATACACACACTGGCTCCCAAGTCCTCATCTTCCACATGGGAACCCCAAGGCCAGTTTGCTCATCAGTGACTCAGCACTCATTTAGTAAGTGCCTGCTGTATACCAAGTGCTGTGTTAGAGATTAGGGGTGTTAGAAAAAAATGAGTAAGACTTAACACTCCCATGTGCCAGGAGTGAACTACCAGGTTTCAGTGAGAGATTTAATTAAGGACATATTTAAAGTTGAACAACTTCAAAAAACACTAACATCTGGGAACAATTTTTTTCCCCTCGCAAGAATTAATCAGGCTAGTTGGTGCTGGTAGGTCTCATGCCTATAATCCTAACTACTCAGGAGGCTGAGATCTGAGGATTGCTGTTTGAAGCCAGCCCAGGCAGGAAAGCCCATGAGACTCATCTCCAATTAACCACCAGAAAACTGGACTTTGAACTGGGGCTCGAAGTGGTAGAGCTTTAGCCTTGACCCAAAAGCTTCGGGCCAGTGCACAGGCCCTGAGTTCCAGGCCCACAAATGACAAAAAAATAAAAAAAGAACTATCCAAGGAAAAGCAAACCACAGATTCTAGGAACAAGAGAGCCCAACAGAAGAAGAGAGGTGATAGGAAATCCAGCCTTGACTCCAAACCCAAACAAAATTGATAAACCGACTGGCATGGGCTGGGAAGGTGGCTTAGTGGTAGAGTGCTTGCCTAGCATGCATGAAGCCCTGGGTTCCATTCCTCAGGACCACATACACCAAAAAAGCCGGAAGTGGTGCTGTGGCTCAAGTGGTAGAGTGCTAGCCTTGAGCAAAGAGAGGCTTAGGGGCAGAGCCCAGGCTTTGAGTTCAAGGCCCAGGACTGGCAATAACACAAAAACCAAAGACTGACCTATTTGCCCTGAGTTTTTGGACTTTGGTTCAAGAGTTGTAGGGATAAATTAAACAACACATCTAGGGCCTATTTATATAAATATGTAAAATCATTTAACTTAAACTTAGAATTGTAATTCCATTGGGTCCGTTGGGGAAGGGTTGCTTGTGTTTTGTTGGTGTGTTCATGTGCTGCTAAATCTTCCTCTATGACACGAAGTCAATAGATGCTACAAATGTCTAAGACAAAAAAGTCAAGGAACAACAGAGCCCAGGCACTGGCGGGTGGCTCACATCTATAATCCTAGCTACTCAGGAGGCTGAGATCTGAGGATCACAGTTTGCAACCAACCTGGGCAGGAATGTCTGCTAGACTCTTATGTCTGATTAAACCAGCAAGATATGCGAAGTGGAGCCGAGCTTCAAGTAGTAGAGTGCCAACGTTGAGTGAAAAAAGCTAAGCACCCAGGCCCTGAGTGGAAGCTTCAGCACTGGCACAAAGGAAAAAAAATTAAAAAATGGAATGCCTGTCATGTAGAAAAATGGATGCTACAGGAAACATCTAGAAGGTTTGGAAGTGGCTACTTAGAGGAGTGTGTGTGGGGGATGGACAGGATTGTTCTCTTGCCCTCTCCCTCCAGTCTTAGCCCGGGGCTTTCTGTAACTTACACTGTTCATAGGAGTGTTAGATCTTCATCAGACATCGAGTCCACCCCGGTCCTCTGCCACCCTCCTCAGCAGTAATGATCATTTCTCTTATGGAGATCAAGGATCATCCTCTGATGAATTCATCCATCAGTTCAACACATGATTATTAAGCACCAATAAACCGCCAACCCTTGATGAGAAAGCCTGCCAGGCCAGTCATCTGTCACTATCAGGTAAATTGAGTTGGAATGGATGAATGGGAGGTTTTCAGCTCAGCTACACAGAGCAGACAGTGAGGCTGGGGGCGGGGCTGGGGGCAGGCCGAGGAGAGCAGACCGCTGGGTGAGGGCCTACGCCGCCTCTTGGGGGTGGCGATGCGTGCTGGGGACAGACCTCTCTCACTGAACACCACAAGTCCCGGGGAGGTGTGAGGGATGAGTCTTTTCTTAGCTACTGTTCAAGTCTGTTGGAGCTGCGTGGAGATTCTAACGCTGGAAATATTTTAAGGCAACTTGAGGGGGTTATATTCATGCCTCCTCTCCCCATCCTTGAGTAGTACAATGTTCTTGTGCACATCTCCTCCTCCTCCTCCTCCTCCTCCTCCTCCTCCTCTTTTTCATCCATCTTGACTGGCTAGAAGGCTGCAGATTCCTGGCCTAGCCAGTACTTCTGAATCACGCCAGGAGGAAAGCATATTCAGCATTCCCAAGAAATCAGAAACCTTGAGACATTGCATATGTGTGTGTGTGTGTGTGTGTGTGTACACAAGCACTAGTACTGGAGCTTGAACTCAGGGCCTAAGCACTGTCCCTTAGCTTTTTCTGCTCAAGGCAGGCACTCTACCACCTGAGCCATGCCTGTACTTCTAGCCTTTTCCTGGTTAACTGAAGATTAAGAATCTCATAGGCTTTTCTGCACAAGCCGGCTTCCAACTGTGATCCTCGGGTCTCAGCCTCCGGAGTAGCGGGGATTACAGGCGTACGCTACTAGTGCCTGGCTCAGGCTCTAGATAGAGGCTCTCCTAACAAGGACTCACTATGGCTGGGCAAATGGGCATGGCCCGAGGTATCCTGGGGCACGGGAGACACTGGAAGACAAGACTTCCTGACAACTCTTCTCTTCAGTATCTCAATCCTTAGGGAGCTGCACAGTGGGAGGAAGCAACCATACTCCCCCAGGCCTCTGAGTGGAGTTGAAGCCCATGCAGACCACGGGAGATGACAGAAGCTCCCAGTCTTTCTCCTCCTTGGCTGTCTCCCTGGCCCTAGTCCTTCCTGGAAAGTTCCTCAGGCCCAAGCTGTTGCTTCATTATACCATGACTCGGCATGCACCAGGGGTATTAATAATTCATGCAAATTTGCAAGTTAAATGCTATGTCAGAAATAGAAATGCAGTTGTCTACAATAAAATTAAAAATATAAAGTCCTCACATCCAAAGGTTTCTATGGACAGACTTTCTCATTCTCTGCAAGAACAAAGCTCTCGCTGCGTTGGTGTAGGGGGTGACAAATACCTCTCTGATCTGACCTCCTCCCATTCCCCTCTCTGACCAAGACCTGTGCACAGCATCCTCTCCAGAGACACCTTCCTAAGTTCACCGCCACATGCTGCTGCTCCCCCCCACCGTCCCATCCCACCTTGCTGTCTACCTCCAAAACCCAGCCTGCCTAGCTGGGGGTCACTGGAACCTGGCTGGAGATGTCTGGACCATTCCACAGAGCTATTCAGGGTGGAAAAAAAAACTGACATCTGCCTCTCTGTTCTCTTCAGAAGAGTCAGGTGCAAGTGGCTCACGCCTGTAATCCCAGCTATAAAGGGGGCTGAGATCTGAGGATCACAGTTCAAAGCCAACCTGGGCAGAAAAATCTGTAAGACTCTTATCTTCAACTAACCAGAAAGCCAGAAGCGGAGGTATGGCTCAAGTGGTAAAGTGCTAGCCTTGAGTAAAAAAAAGCTAGGGATAGCATTCAGGCTCTGAGTTCTAGCCCCCAGCACACACAAATATAAAAAAGACAGACAAACAACCAGATACCAAAAGCCTGGGATTAAGGAAACAAAGATTTGCATTCAAGCTGGGTACCAGTGGCTCATGCCTGTAATCCTAACTACTCAGGAGGCTGAGATCTGAGGACCACATTTCAAAGCGAGTCTGAGCAGGAAATTCTGGGAGACTCTTATCTCCAATGAACCACCAGAAAACCGGAAATAGTGCTGTGGCTCAAGGGGTAGAGTGCTAGCCTTGAGCACAAAGAGGCTCAGGGATAGCACCCAGGCCTGAGTTCAAAACAAGCCAAAAGAAAAAAAAAAAGATTTGGATCAAGCTCTACTGCATTCTAACTGGCAGATTGGCCTAGCCTAAGTCACTAGTCCCTGCTAGCCTCAAATTCCTACCATCTGAGAAAGGTCATGACAAACCAGTGCTATCTAAACCGCTTTGGCAGCAGGAGGTAGAGCTTGAACTCAGGGCTTGGGCACTGCCCTTGAGCCTCTCTGTGCTCCAGGCTAGCACTCTACCACTTGAGTCACAGCACCACTTCTGGCTTCTTCTGTTTATGCTGAGGAATGGAGCCCAGGGCTTCAGGCATGGTAGGCAAGCACTCTACCACTAAGCCACATTCCCAGCTGGATCTCATTTTTTGATGGGAACTGTTACCTAAAGTTCTCCACGCAGAAAATTGATTAAAATGAAGCCGTGGAGGTGGGATGGGAGCCAGACTGCTAATTATTAGGCTCCATACTTCCACCCTTACCCCCAAGGAGCCATAGGCTTCCACGGGGAACTCAAGAAATCCTTTGGTCTTGATCAATTACTTCCAGTGCAGCCGCATAGCCTTCCTCAAAGTTATCTGGGGAGCTTATTACACAGCGATCCCAGAAGGGCTTGCGAGAGCTGCCCCGCCCCCTCTGTATTCATGTTTGGCCAATACTGGGTCAGAGGATCTCCAAGGTCATTTCTTGCTGGGGTTTGAGATGGCTTCCATGAGCCTGTAGGTGTCTCTCCTGTCTGCCCCAGACTCTGGTGTCCTCGGCCTCCAGAAATACCATTCTTTGCTCAGCAGCCTGGTCTCAACCCTGGGGAGAGAGATGGGTATGTCCCAGAGCCTTAGCCTAAAAGGCAGCCTTGGTGAGCCTGCCCAGCTTTGAGGATCTTAGGTCTGCAGGAGTCCTGCACACACAGGACTTTGGTGGCTAAACAGGGCTGGGGGGGAGGGGGTGTCTCTACGGGTAGAAGGTGGTATCCACAGATACAAATCAATTGTATGCTGGTGGCTCATTCTTGTAATTCTAGCTACTCAGGAGGCTGAGATCTAAGGGTCGTGGTTCAAAGCCAGCCCCAGCAGGAAAGTCTGTGAGACTCTTATTTCCAATGAACCACCAGAAAAATCACAACTGGAGCTGTGGCTCAAGTGGTAGAGCACTAGCCTTGAGCAAAAAAGGCTCAAGGATAGCACGTAGGCCCTGAGTTCAAGCCCCCGGCTGACAAAAATAAAAATAAAAAACCAACAGTTGCAAACTGTCTTTTTTTTTTTCTTTTGGTCGGTTGTAGGGCTTGAACTCTAGGCCTGGGCGCTGTCCCTGAGCAATTCAGCCCAAGGAGAGAGCACCACTTCCAGTTTTCTGTTGGTTCATTGGGGATAAGAGTCTCATGGACTTTCCTTGTCTGGGCTGGTTTTGAACCTCCAACTTCACATCTCAGCCTCCTGAGAAGCTAGGATTACAGGCATGAGCCACTGTCCCTGGCTGTAAACTGTGTCTTTGGAGTACTTCAGACACACATGATCTTATCTGAGCTCCTAACCACCAAGGCAGCCCCACAGGACAGGGCTTGCTGTAGCTAGATCTGGTTTGAACTGGAGAAGCAGAGACCAGAGATACGGAAGCTTCTGACAGAGTCATCATGCGACATTAAGTCCTAGAGTTTTGGGCCTCATGTGAAGTTACGATTCCTCCCCTCTCCTCCATGAGTCCCCCTCAATGGGTCAGCCCTCTGTGGGACAGCCGGCTCGAGTCTGCATTCAGAAGCATTTGGAGAAGTTGAGAAAATACAGATTCTGAACCTCACAAAACCAGAGGAGTGTGAGAGGAGAGGGTGACATTTTATAAGTTCCAGTGAATCGTATTTTGTGGTGGTGTCTCCTCCTTCCCAGCCCTTTCGTCATATCTGGCAGCCCAGATGAGTACCTATGCCTAAAGACATAGCCAATTTTTATTTATTTATTTATTGTCGGTCGTGGGGCCTGAACTCTGGGCCTGGGCACTGTCCCTCAGCTCTTTAGCTCAAGGCTAGCGCTCTACCACTTGAGCCACAGTGCCATTTCCAGCTTTTTCTGCTTATATGGTGCTGAGGAATCGAGCCCCGGGCCTCATGCATGCAAGGCAAGCACTCTACCACTGAGCTACCTTCCAGAGCCATTTTTTAAAAAAAATTTCTTGGTCAGTCCTGGGCCTTGAACTCTGGGCCTGAGCCCTGTTTCTGAGCTCCTTTTGCTCAAGGCTAGATCTCTACCACTTGAGCCACAGCTCCACTTCCAGATTCTTGGTGGTTGGTTAGAGATTTAAAAAAATCCATGCGACTTTCTTGACTGGTTTCGAACCTTGATCCTCAGATCTCAGTCTCCTGAGTAATTAGGATTACAGATGGGAACCACCGGTGCCCGGTTTGACAGAGCCAGTGTTATGAAACAGGTTCAACTCTTTTGTTGACTCAGAGAGGTTAAGTCACTTTCCTTAGGCAACACAGCACCTAGCGGTGTCCATTCATGGTGCTACCGCCAGTGTTTAATGGGGCCTTGTGACTATCACTGGGTGGGAGTTACTCAGGATGGGGAAGGAATTGACCTTCTCAAGGTATATGTGAGAGAGGCTCAGACCTTTTACAGCACCCACACAGATCCTGAAGGTCCACTTACCATCCAGCCTGGAGGACACGCACACTCGCCGGTGATGTGGTGACAGGTGCCCCCATTCTGGCAGGGGCAGCGCAGCTCACAGTGAGCTCCATGGCTTCCAGGGGGGCACAGCTCCTCGCAGCTACATGGAGAAGCAAGGTGTTAAACAGCCACGTTCCCACTGCAGCTTCCTGCTGCCAATCCCCATGCCCAGAGCTAAGAACTGGTCAATGAAGGTTGCAGTACTGCTTCCGGCCAGCAGGGGGCAGAAGAGCTTAGAGATAATATATGAAGGTGCAGCGAGCTTGAGGCAACACAGATGAGCTGACACATACATGTCCAAGCTCCAGAAGGTTCCTAGCTAGCTGCCGTGGTGAGCTCTGGACGCTATTGAAGGGTGGGGGGGGGGGAGAATCTGCTTGGGTCTTGGTCTTAGGTTAGAACCTTTGGCTCAAAATTGTCCTGGGAGCTGGCCAAAAACAAGACCTAGAAGAACCTCAGTCAGGGTTCAGCTGAAGTGCTTTGGAGGTTCCCAGACAATGAGGATTCTCCAGGGAACTGGGGCTGCTTGGGGGTCTCCCAGACCCCCAAGACCAGACTGTGGTGGTGGTGAGGTGGGCGGGGGAGGGGGAACAAACACAGTAACCTTCTAATCTGCGCACCATCCATGGGAGGGCTCTCGCTCCTTCCCTTTCTAGGTCTGGAAGGGTCCATCAGGCGCAGCTGAACACAGTGGTTCAGGGGTTAAAGTCAAGAATTTCAAGCTGAAGTCTGGGCAGTGTGCCAGGAAAGGGCCCGTGGGAGTTGTTCCATGAGCTCCTCTGGGCTGGAGAATTGCCACCTATGCAGTCTCTGGAGGACCACCAGTGACCCCGAGGCGTAGATCTGAGCCCATGTGTGGGCCAACCCGGGGCATGTTAGACTGCTAGGCTTGGGGTCCGAATGCACTTGTGACAGCCCAGATTATTTAGCCCTTCCTCTTGTCCCCACCACCCAGAGCCAAGGCCCAGGGAACTCAGAAGGCGCGGTGAGGGGCGACCAGACCACGCCCCTTCACAAAGCCCCGCCCCTCACAAGGCCCGGTCCCATTCATTCACTCCACCCCAATCCTGCTCCATTCACAAAACTCCACCCAAGATCCAGCTCCTTGCAAGGCCCCGCCCCATTTACTGACCACCAATCCCCGCCCCTTCGCCCAAGCCCCACCCGTTCAAAGGCTCCACCCAAGCCCCGCCCCTCACAAGGCCCTAGCCCATCCACCATTTCCCAAGCCCCGCCCCTTTTGCTGGCTCCACCAATCGTCACCTCTTCACACACAAGTTCCACCCATTCGCGGGCTCCACCCAAGCCCTGGCCCCTCGCGAGGCCCCGCCCCTCCAGGCCCCGCCCCTGCGCGCTACTCACTAGACGCCGGTGTAGCCCGGAGCACAGAGGCACTCGCCGGTGCGCGGGTCGCAGCTGGCGCCGTGGCGACACTGGCACGGCAGCTGGCAGCCTTTGCCGTGCGTGCCCGGCGCGCACAGCTCCTCGCAGCGCCACCCTCGGAAGCCGGCGGCGCACACGCAGGCGCCGGTGATGGGGTTGCACAGGGCGCCGTTCTGGCACTGGCACCGGTTGCTGCAGTGGGGACCCCAGTGGTCGCTGTCGCAGCCTGCAAGAGAGGACGCGCAGTCAGGGCTTGCGGGTCCCCCTGGAATGGAGGGGGGGTCTGGACCCCATGTCCACGCGGTCTTCCCGTCCCTCTTCCGACCAGATAGAAGGCTGCGTGCGGGGTGTCTGCGTGACAGCGTGGACACCTGTCACCCACATCTGTAATTCCGCCGCCACCCCCAAGTGCCGGTCCAGGTTTATTTCTTTTCCCTTTTATTTTTGGCTGGGGGGAGTCGGACTCAGACTCAAACTCTGCATCTGATGCTTTCTCTCACTAGCTGGCTTTCCGCCACCTGAACCACGCCTCCGACCCCTCCTCTGCAGGTTTGCAATGCTGGAGTCCCCAGGTCTGCCCATCAACCAACCTTTTCATGGCTGGTGGTTTTCTCTGTTCCCGGACCTTTTGTGGCACCCCCTGTTTTCTGTGACCCTACTGCTCAGTCCATCCCAGCCCCCCCCCATGTCTCTCCATTTCATCAGTGCCTCAGGCTTTGGGCTGTCTGATCTTCAGTTTAATTGCATTACTGTGTAAGCTCCCAGCATCCCAAGGAGCAGGAGAAAGAAATGCTTCCCTGGAGTTAATAGACCAGCCTTTGAGATCTTTGCCTGTAATTAAATGTTTCCAAGAGTACTCGGCAGCTGTAGAGAGGGACGGAATGACAGTGCCAGGGGAGGGCTGCCCAGTCATCTGCCCCCCCTCTCTGCCCTCCTCCTGTACATATAGGATACATACATACATATATATATATATATATATATATATATGCATATAGGTGTGGCAAACTATGGCCTCAATCACTGGAATTCTGGAATAGGGTTGGAGGGTGGAGGGCAGGTATAGAAAGAAGGACTCATTGGAGAAGAGGTCCAATGTATTGCACCCAGCTAAAGAGACTAGGCAAGCTTCCTAAGAGAGAAAGCAGAGCCATGGGCTTTAAAGATTGTCTCACTTCAAAGTCTGATAAGGATGACTGCTCTGTATGTGTGTGTGTGTGCACGTGTGTGCGTGCATGCGTGTGCACAGGTGTGTTCAAATCAGGGCCTGGGTACTGTCCCTTAGCTTCTTGCTCAAGACTAATGCTCTACCACTTGATCCATAGCTCCACTTCCAGCTTTTTGGTGGTTAATTGGATATAAGAGTCTCACAGACTTTCCTGTGGGCTGACTTTTAAACCATGATCCTCAGATTTCAGCCTCCTGAGTGGCTAGGATTACAGGTGTGAGCTACTAGTACCTAGCTTTCAGCACAAAACACCCCACATTCCCTGAAGCCCATCAGTCCTGGGGGCGGGAGGGAGAAAGCTGCTAGTCACTCTTCTACCTGTACACTGGGGTGATGATTGGGGTGGCTCTCTGTGCTCCAGGTTTCTAGGGTTTAGGCACTCAGAAAGGAAATGCCAGGTATGGGGGTGAGGTGGGGCTGGAAAGCGTCACTGGGGTTAGTAGGCTCATTATGGATAGAGTGGAACTACTTTGGCAGCTAAAGGATTGGTGGCAGGATCACTCCATCAGCTCCATCAATCTCCTGGAAGTCCCTCCTGCGGGCTGACTGGGTCATGTGGTCACTCTTATACAGCCTGCCTATCTTCCTTAAGTAGTCACGACTACTGAGTCCCAGAATCGCCTTCACACACACTCTGGCTCATCTCTTCTTCATCTGTATTCACACACAGAAACTGATGCCACATTGTAGGTGGTTGTACCTTGCACTTCCCACCTGTATTATAGAAAAGCAAAAACCTAGTAACACTTAAGAATTATACCCTCTGCTTAGGCTGACAGAGGCTTGCAGGTCCAACAGAGACATTGTGGCCTTCAGCGCATCCCAGTCTATCCTCTCTCTGGGATACAGCATGCATAAAAGAATCCCAACCTGACACCTGTAACCCTAGCTACTAAGAACTGAGGGTCACAGTTTGAAGCCAGCCTGGGCAGGAAAGTCCTTAATCTCCAATTAACCAGCAAAAAGCTAAAAGTGGAGGCATGCTGCAAGTGATAGAGCTCTAGCTTTGACAAAAATGCTCAGGGACAGGGCCCAGACCCTGAATTTGAGTCCCTGGACACACACACACA